GAATAAGAGCATCTCCAATGCACTAGGCATATAATACTTGTTAGTTAAAATGCCTAGTGTGATTCACTTTTTTCAATTCCAATGCACTAGGCATATGATTAGGCATTTTGGCTTAACTCATATTCACTAGCTACATGTAGCTAGCCTTCAACGCTAGGCAAAATGTATTCAATCATTAGGATCATTTCCCTCCATCTTTATTGTTGACGTGGCATTCTATAAAATTAATAGTATTTAGATAAATAGCTAAAATAAAGAGTATGGTTGGAATAAAAACATAAAATAGTTGATAGGCAAAATAAAATATATACTTTATAGTAATATTTAGATAGGTAAAATGCCTATTACCGTTGGAGATGCTCTAAGAGACTCAAAAGAAATCAAGGTATACCCTCATTAGAGGCTTTTGAAATAAAGGAAATTTTTGTAGATCTCATACTTTTACAATTTTAGTAGATTAACCTGCAAAATATTAACAAGTCTCAGTATTGCTTGGCTTAAATACTCTTATGTTATTAAAACATGAGACACGTATAAACAAATTGGAGACGGTTATACTATTTGATTTAAAAATTTTAAATCTTGTAATTTCAGTTTTATATATTTATTTTTCAAAAAAATTATATGGGGGGCAAAATCCACTTTATTTCCTTAATTTGGGTCATTTGCACTTCACTTCTATTTCAATCATAGGCATAGAGTCCTTTTGTGGTTTTGATTGTTTAATGCATTGCTCTATTTCATTAAAAAAATCGGTCCAAACAAATAAAAAAGAAAAAACTTTATTTATATACCTTCAATACTCTCAGTATATATGGGTCTCACTTATTTTCATAATTAATAGATCTATAAGATAAAATATTATATCTATGCTATTTTTGAAAATTCTCATTTTGGTTTGAAAATGAATATACTTTGTAATCATTTTGTTTTTTGGTAATGAATTAATAGGTCTTTTTCATATGAATTCTCTTTGTTTAAATCTTTATTTTGAATTGTAAGACATTGATTGATTTTATTTTTCCATTTTGATGCTATTAATCTAGACCATCTAATCTGAGATAAATGGTATTGATAATGAATTCTTAACCTATTTTTTCATTGATTTATTCCAGAATTCCGAAGTTTCTTATGCCTTAATTCATAATGAATTATTCCTTGTTTTCCAAAATAGTCTTTTATTGAAGTCTTAAAAAAAGAAGACGTTATGTGATATTGAAGAATAGATTTTAACTTGTACAAGTTAAGAACTTGTGTTTGTGATATTTTGTAAAATACATATGCTTGTGACAAGGAGGATATCCTCTATTTTCTTTATCGCAATTTTAACTCACACTTAAGTTACTTCTTAAGACGAATTTCTAAACCCTAATCTCTTAATTCACACCATCATCATCATCATCACCACCAACCCACCAGCCTCCACCAACTTCGATTGCCGTCCTCCACCACCACTATGACGACTTCCTCTCCAGCTACGATCGTAGCACGATTTCTACCGCTGGCCACCACCATCACTAGCAATCCATACCACCATCACCAATCGAGAGAGAGTGGGATCTGGAAAACCCAGATCTAGAAGATAAGAAGAAGAAGAAGAAGAAGAGATTAGGCTATGGTGGCCGTGGAAATCGATGCAACCAGCTTTTCACCTTCGCCTGTTGTCTCCAAGCTACCAAAACGACAACTTACCTTTTCGGCCACCATCACAGCCCCCACCGCCATCGCAACCTATACCGCTGCTATCTACCACTACAACGCGAGAGAGAGAGAGAAAGAGAGAGAGAGAGAGAGAGAGATCCAACGCTATGGTGTAGGAACCGAGACGGGGTTGACGGACAAGACGAGAATGACAACGGTGATGGGAAGAGGGAGCCTAAAGGGGGAGACAAAAATAATCAAATTTCAAAACAAAAAGATAGTAATGCCCTCTTCTAAATTTTTCATCCAAAACTCTAACTAAAACTAATTATTCACATTATTATAAACATAATTAATAATTAAACTACAAATTAGTTTAGTATTTGACTTTAATTTATGTTTAATTGAATTAGTGTTTTATTAAGTTTGAAACTAGGTGAAAATTTAGAAAAAAATAGAGTATTAGTCGAGGAAAGATAAAGCAAATAAGCGTGGGAAGAAATAGATGGTCACTTAATGTTTATCATATAGGTTTTTCTTTGAATCTTTCTCAACTAAAAAAATTGGCTATTAATTGAAAGATAGAGAAGTTTTGAAAGTTGTCAATAATCTCATCTCTTTCATCGGTGGTTTGCCATCAAGAAAATTTTCAGATCCAGACTTAGATCTGATTATTCACCAAGATCCAATACTGTTAACGCGTTTTATACTTTAAATGACCATTTTATACCAGAATTTTTATTTTGGAATGTAGAGGCAAGAATTAAGGTACCATAGCTAACATTTGTGATGATAAATGAACGGTGAAGATAATTGGTAATGTTTGTTTGGTAGTGATTGTTTTGATATCTTTTATTTTATTTTGGTTTATTTTTATTTATTTATTTATTGTGTTGCAATAATGCCTCTTTGTGTAGAGGTTCCCTCTTTTCATGTAGATTTTCTTCTCCATGTGTGAAGGTTTATTTTTGTTTATTTGTGGGGACTCATATTCTCCTTATGTGGAGATTCTTTTTATTCATTTTGAAATCTATTTTGTACTCTCTTTTTTTTTTTTTTTTTAACTAATCTATTTTATACTATGATATATTTTATTAAACAACTTATTGCCGGATATGTAATGTAAATCTCTTATTTTCCTAAAATAGAAAATAAAAAAAAAACCTTGTTAAAAGCAGCTTTGAGGCTAAAAAAAGGAAACAATTACAACCAAAATAAATAAATAAATAAAAACTACTCAAGGCTTAAGCCCTCTAACAAAATAAATTTTACGTTGTCAATTTAAATCCTTATTTATTGATTCTTTTTGAAAAATTTAAACCATTCACCTACTTTTGTTAAGTAAAACTGATGAAAAAAAAGAAAGACTATTTTAGTTATTGAATTCAATATACATATGTATAAAATATCTAAATTATATTTTTTATTGAGTTTAATGACTAAAATACTCTTTTTTTATATTAATTTTAGATAACGAAAATAGACAAATAGTTTAAATTGAAAATAAATTAAAAGTTTAGAATTTAATTAATAAGATTCAACACTCATGATTTATTTAGTTATAAAGTTTAAATTCTAGATTTTTTTTTTATTTTTTTGTAATTTCTTAAAAAAAAAAATTTGAAACCTAACCGAACATAACACTTGTCCATATGATAATAGTCACATTATTTGAGTTTTGAATATTCAATAATATTATCTTATGTAGTGTTATTGACAAATGAAATATTATAAATAAAATTAAGTAGACAAATGATGGCCCGTATTTTAATGCAAGACTACTCATTCAATGGTAGAGTGCGATTTAGCTGCAGTCGCAGAGGTGGTCTAATGGGACCCGTCGCAGAGGTGGTCTAATGTGGCCCCTCTGCGCAACTAATACCAACACCATTAAAGAGGGAAAATTTTAAGGATTCACATTTAGTAGTATTTTAAAAAGTTGGTAAAAAATTAATTTTTTAATTTTTTGATTTTTTAGTGATTTTTTTGACAAAAAGTTGGATTCTTTTAGGTAAAAAAACTAGTTTTTTTGGCTAAAAAAATTAAAAAATCAAAAAGTTAACTTTTTATCAATGTTGCCAACATGTCCCTATTCATTCAGAATTTTTTTGGGGTGGGTAATTGTATAATAAGGATTAAATTTTTATAGTATGAGATTTATGTGTAAAATAAATCTAAATCATAAGATAAAAATTTTAAATAATTTTTAAGTTTTTTGGGTGAATAATAATTTTTAAATTAATAAAGGTGTGTTTATAGTTACTCATTATGCAATTGTATTTTTTTTTTAGTTTGCATAATGCAATTCTATTTAACGGAACGATAAAAAAGGTCTTTGACTTTTCTATTCCCCTTCCAATGAGAAGTTATTCTATGGTTCTGAAATTCCACATCAGCATTGAGCTTGACCAATGAGAATAATACATGAGAAAAAAAATTCACAAAATATGAAGTACTTTAAATTTTTTTTCAATAACTGTCACATTATTTAAAATTTTATTTATTGGACACACCACATTATATCTGGCTTATTCAATAATTTCTCCTCTATTGAATAATTTCTCATCTTGAATATCTTTCATGTTCCAACTTCCTTCCAAAATCTAAACTGGCAGACACTATTTCAGACTTTGGTCTTATTTCGATGATTCGAACTGTTTATTTTGTTAGTCATTTCATATATTTCATCCACAAAAAAAAAAGGTGATTCGATAACTATAACTTGTTTAATTTATTGCGTTTCTCATCAAAAAAATTTGATTTATTTTTTAAAAACACAATTGTTAAACTATATTTTATGAAAATCAAATCAAATTTTAAAATGCATATAAATTAGATGTAGGTAAAAATTAAAAAAAAAATAAAAGAAAATCATTAAAGATAAAAAGATACAAAAAAAAAACCCCTCAATTATAGTTTTTAAAAACTAAACCAAACTGATGATAATATCATTTTGAACATTCCATTCGAGATGTCATGTGTAAGCTGCATGTCAAATTTTAATCTATTTAAGTGACAAATTTCTAATAAATTTTTTAAATTGATATAAATTTATAATTTAAAACGACAAGTATATCATTTTTTAGTTGTTGGGATAAACTTATATTGTGTCAAGAGGAGGTAAAGTGATAAATGATAATAATGGAGGGAGATAAATGGTAAGTTATTGTAGAAATAAATAAGAAACAACCAAAAAAATAAAAATAAATATAAATAAAATAATAAATAATAAATAATCCAAAATTAAAACTAAAAGTAGAAGAGTGGTTGAGTTCGAAAAGGAGTGTAGTTAATGAGAGCAGACAAGAGTGGTCGTGGTTCAGCTCGAAAAGGTGAGAGACAAATACACTGAACTGCGTCAATGGCAGCAGCAACTACACTCACGTGACTTCAGTCAAATTGCACCACCCATGTGGATCTCAATAATAATAGTTAGAGATTAGTTATGTGAGCATAAAAATCAAGTTCTGTGAAGCCATTTAGCAAATCAGAACTAGACAGAGAGAAATGGGTATCCAATACAGAATTCCTTTTTCTTTTCTTTCGTTCCCATTCCTCTTGTTTGTCTTATTCACTATTCCATCACAACACTGCACTCCAACTGATACTATAACACGATCACAACCAATCTCAGCAGGACAAACTCTCATCTCCTCTGGTCAAATGTTTGAGTTAGGCTTCTTCATTCCAAGCAATTCCAGTAAGCAATATGTTGGGATTTGGCACAAGAACATACCAATACATGATCGAAAAGTCGTATGGGTGGCAAACAGAAAGAATCCAATTACAGTTACAGCAACGGACTCTGCCTCTTCAAGTCTAACAATTGGTAAAGATGGAAATCTGAGACTACTTGATGGCATGAACAACACTGTCTGGTTTACAAATGTTTCTGTCCATTCCAACAACTCAATTGCAGTGCTTACAGACAAGGGAGACCTTACTCTTGTAGATAGTGTCTCTCGATTGACCTTGTGGGAGAGCTTTAACTATCCTTATGACACTTTTTTACCGGGAATGACGCTAGGAATGAACACCAAAACAAGAGAGAAACGCTTCCTATCTTCCTGGCTGACCGAAGATGACCCATCTCCTGGAAAGTTTGTTTGCGGGCTTTCAAAGGAGGCACCACCGCAGATTTTCATTTGGAATGGTTCCAAGCCATACTGGAGAGGTGGTCCATGGGACGGATCGAAGTTTATAGGGATACGGGACGATTTGTACAGCTACGGCGATGGATTTAGCCTCACTCACGATAATCAGCAGGGAAGTGTGAATGCGACATGGCACGTTTACAACATCTCTAGTGTCCATTTTCTGTTCTTAACACCAAATGGATCTTTGAAGATAATGTATATGGATGAAACAGTCAAGAACCCGAATGTTACTTGGATGACACCGCTCAATCGATGTGATATTTATGGGGTTTGTGGACCTTTTGGAGTTTGCAATAAGAATATGTATCCAAATTGTGAGTGCTTGAAAGGGTTTGTACCAAACTCAATTGAGGATTGGAAGAAAGGAAATTGGGCAGGTGGTTGTGTGAGGAAAACTGATTTGCTATGCCAAAAGAACACTAGCAGCTTAGCATCATCAGGAAAGGCTCAAAATGATGAATTTTGGAAGTTGGGAAGTATGAAGCTGCCGGATCATTTTGAATATTTGTATACCGAGGATTCCTCAGGTTGCCAACAATGGTGCTTGAGTAATTGTTCTTGTGTGGCATATGCATATGTGAGTGGAATTAATTGTATGGTTTGGACTGGAGGGCTCATGGATGTTCAGCAGTTTTCACTTGCCGGGGACGACCTCAACCTTCGCCTTTCGCCTTCAGAGCTGGGTAAAGTTAATTTATTTGAGCCTTAATATCTTAGGATTAGCAATATCATTTTTACTTCGTAATTTGTTTTTCATTATCTTTTTCTTTTCTTTTCTTTTCTTCTTTTTTTTTTTTTTTTTCAGCAAAAGATAAGAAAAATAATGAAAAATTCATCATCAGCTTTACAACAATTTCTGGGGTTGTCCTCTTGGGTGCGTTCATGTATGGTTTGCACAGGTGGAGAGCAAATCAAAGAGGTAAGAAAGCTACATAATTGAATTCTAACAAGCGACTGTGATTATTATTAACATATTTCAAATTTGAGAAATCTAAATGATTTTCAGTTCTGTGGTTCACTTTTTGTACATCAGTAAACAAAGAAAACAGGAAAAAGGACTTTGAAATGGCTGAATCAATGAACACTTCAGAGCTACCAATTATTGGCTTTGATAAATTATTAGCCGCTACCGATAACTTCAGCACGACAAACAAACTTGGGGAAGGAGGATTTGGACCTGTTTATAAGGTAATTATGTTCTTAAATATATGAATTAAGTTGACATTTATCCGATGTACTAACTAATAAAAATGGTGGACTACAGGGAAAGTTAGAAGATGGGCAGCTAGTGGCAGTGAAAAGACTTTCGAGGCATTCAGGACAAGGCCTGGAAGAGTTCAAGAATGAGATCATATTGATATCCAAACTGCAGCACAGGAATCTTGTTAGGCTCTTGGGTTGCTGCATTGATGGGGAAGAGAAGCTATTGGTTTATGAGTACATGACAAACAAAAGCTTGGACACTTTTCTCTTTGGTTGGTTTATAGTCTCATCTTTCCTCCTGTAAATTGTTCATAGCATTGAATATTGTTACTACAACTATGTCTAGTACTCCGGAAAGAAATTTTCAAACTTGTTTTCTTCTTGTTCATGCTTTAGATGCAACGAAAAGGGCGAAGCTTGATTGGGCTAAACGCTTCCATATTATTCAGGGTATTGCTAGAGGGCTTCTTTATCTCCATCGGGATTCTTGTTTAAGGATTATTCACAGAGATTTAAAGGCTAGCAATATTCTCTTAGATGATGACATGAATTCGAAAATTTCAGACTTTGGGATAGCGCGAACTTTCCAAGTGACACAAGAATTGGCAAATACTCACAGAGTGGTGGGAACATTGTAAGGATCCTTTCTTTCCTTAAATAGATTTTGCTCACTTTTGCCGACTATTTTCTCTACTGATGCAATTATGTATTGATATGGAACATTTTATGTTTGAAATACAACAAATAAAAGTATAATGGAAATAGCCACTAGTAAGGATCACAACAGGCTCACCACTTTAAAAATAAGCTTAAAATTTATCTTTGATTAGGATGGAGACTAGAGTTACAAATGAGGCTAAGTAGTTTTCATTTCGGTACATAAATTTTATTTTTGTTTATCATTTAGTGAAATGACTGAATATATATTGAGGACATATAAGTGATTCAATAAATAAGTTTGTCTCCTTTCTTTTTTTAATTTTTAATTTTTTTTAGAATAGTTATATTATATTTATTGACTGGAAGTCCTAAAATTTTGGGTAAGCATAAATGTAATAATTTCTAATCAAATGCAGCGGATACATGTCTCCCGAGTATGCAATGGGAGGGCTATTTTCAGAGAAATCGGATGTCTATAGCTTTGGTGTTTTGCTATTAGAGATGGTCAGTGGCAGGAGGAATACTTGTTTCCCTTATCATGAAAAATATTTGAACCTCCTTGGTTATGTAAGTGCACTAATTTCACCTTTACATGCTTTCATATATTGTTAGTCACCACCATTATATGTGGTTCTACTAATTCATATATGGACATATGTGGAACTATTCTAGGCATGGAAATTGTGCAATGAAAGCCGGGCATCAGACTTAGTAGATGAGGTAGTGATTGATTCATGTTCTTGGTCTGAAGTAATGAGATGCATACAAATTAGCCTTCTTTGTGTTCAAGACCACCCTGCGGATAGGCCAACAATGTCTGATGTGGTTCTCATGCTAAGTAATGAAATAGATCTTCCACATCCAAAACAACCTACATTCACTATGCAAAGCTTGTCAGATGTCGATCTTCGGTCACAATGCAATAAAATATCTTCCGACAGTAAGGCATCTCTATCAATTATTGAGGGGCGATAACCAATTTACAAATTATATATATGTCGCACAACATATTTTGATATATTTGTGTTGGCTACGTATTTTGTAAAAGACTAGTTACAGTTCGACGTGTGGCAGAGTAAGGGTAATATAGGAAGACTGTTCAAGTCTTCGATCCTGATCGTACACGTGACAGTTGATATTGTCTATTGCGTGGTCCGAATAACATTGGATCAGCAAAAAGATGCAAGGTGACGTGGCTTCAACAGTTACTCACATTCAAATTCAAATATAAGAGAGAAGCTTAGCTGCAAGTGATGGCGTAGTGGAACTACTTATAAGGCAGCATGATCAGTGATCACGGAGGAGCAGTTTGAAGTGCAGTTCGATGGTCATCTTTGAGGAGTATAAATAGTAGGGAAGACCCCAGAAAAAACTCTCAGACTCAGATCCAACAAACTAGTCTTACTTTACATATTTCTTTCCAGTTTTTATATTTCCTGTTCTTTACATTCCTGTACTTTAAATTTCTGCACTGCACTTCATTCATAGGAGTAGTTTCAATTAGATTGTCCCTGTAAACCTCTACGAGGCTGAATTTGGATCATTGTAAGTTTTTCATACTTATGAAATGCTTTAATTGCTCTTTATTTAACTATTCTTGTGCTTAAATTCTCTTAAATCAAGCCACCAGTAAAAGTCCTCTTCATTAAGGCTGAAAGAACTACAACACAATCGTCTGATAATTGGTTGGCAATTAAAATTCTGTAAGGACTGATTGATCCTTGTTGGCACGCTCACAATTACAAAAATAACCTTTGAAAGTCAAAAATCAAACATATATTTTTGGCACGCCCAGTGGGACCCATTTAAAATGGGTAGATGTAGGAGACAAGGAGAAAATGAACGCTTGGAAGAAGGTGTGGAAGGAGAGGTAGAGATACCTAATTCAAAGGATAATGTGATAACACATCCTGTGGAAACTCCTATTTCATCGGAACCTATGGTCAAACAGACAAGTACTTCAGAGCAAATACCATTTGTTCGTAATATTGGACGAGACCAAGGAATTGGACCATCCACTGTCCCATCTACTAAGCCAGTGAATCCATGGGGTGGCCTAGTAGATGCCATGGAATAGCAATTAATAAACACAATAGAAAGGTGGGCAACATCATTTTTGGATCAAATGAATAACCACCAACCAACAAATGCAAGACACATGGAGGAAGTAAATGTCCCTCAGCAAAGATTGGCTAGAGATAAACAGCCTATGCAAGTTAATGGACATTCTAATGGTCAAACTAGTAATCAGAGCCATGAAAGACCACCACCTCAGTCTTGGTACAAACCCATTTTGAGGCCTATAGCAGGCCGAAATCCCTCAATGTTCAACAGTGAAGCCATGCAAGTGGTGGATCTGGCCCAGTACAAGAAAATGACATAAGAATGGTTCCAAATCCCACGTTCAAAGCCATACCTGGCACTAGGGGGTACAATAATCCCTTATTCGAATTTATACCCGGGGGGTTGGAAGGTTTCCCCACAAATGGAAGGGATACAACACCTGTTCCAGCACCTTTCGTAGGTTCCTTTGCAGGACAGGCTCAAAGAGGTTACTCACACCCCTAACAGCAACCTGTACCACAAGGACAACCAGTCCCAAATGTACCACCCTATGGACCAAGAGGACCACAAGCACAAGTTTGTCCATCAAATCCTGTGTTTGTTCCCCTAGTAGTGGTTCAGCAGGCACAAAATATGGTCCCTAGAGACCAAATTGCTGATATAGTTAGGGAGCTGTGTGGACCAATGGCTCGGGGGGTCCAAACTCCTGTGTACAGAAAACCATACCCAGAATGGGTCGACAGGGTACATGAATACCCAATGGCTCAGGGGGTCCAAACTCCTGTGTACAGAAAATCATACCCAGAATGGGTCGACAGGGTACATGAATACCCAAGGGGTTTCAGGATACCATATTTTGTCCTTTTTTATGGGAACGGAAACTAATTAACAGTAGAGCATATTGCTAGGTTTGCTGCTTAATGTGGTGAATTTACCAATCATGACTATATGAAGTTGAGACTATTCCCAAACTCTCTAACTGGGGGAGCATTTGTATGGTACATTAACCTTCCACCTGGCTCTATCCAGACTTGGCAACAAATGGAAGAGGCATTTCATGCCCAATTCTTTCAATCAGAGCCAGAAGTTTCCATGGCAGACTTGGCAAGATTGAGTCAAAGGCCGGAAGAGAAGGCTACTCAGTTTATTGCCAGATTTAAAAGGGCTCGAAATAAATGCAGAATAATCTTGCCAGAGCCAGAATTCGTAAGATTGGCCCAAAATGGCTTAGAGTTCAGGCTTCGAAAGAAGTTTGACTCAACAGAATTCAGGGACTTAGTGGAACTGACTTACAAAGTATCTAGATATGAAGCATTACTAGAAGAGGAGCAAGATCGAAATAATGCATCATATAAGACATACTACAAAGATCCTAACTATGAGATTGATGCAGCAGAGATTGTGGAGAAAGAGCCTATGATCTGTAAAGCATTAATTCATAAGGATACGACAATTGACCAGCAATTTAAAAAGAAAGATCTCCACAGGAAATATTCTTTCGATTTAACTAAAGCAGATGACATTTTTGATCATTTGCTTACAGCCAACTTCCTTAAGTTACCAAAAGGGGTTAAAATTCCATCTCTTTGAGAACTTAAAGGAAAAGTTATATGTAAATGGCATAATTCTTGGCTCACTCGACTAAAACTGTGTTGTTTCGAACAGGATCTAAGAACAAATTCGGAAAGGAAGTTTTGAAATTCCCAGCCAAAGCTTGAAAAAAGCCATGGGGATCGACAGTAATCCTTTCCAGAAATTGGAGAGGTGGCAGCCAATGTCATTATGCCAGATTTTAGAACTTGTCTTTTAAAGAATTGGAAGGAGTCAATGTACAGATGCATATGGCCAACCCAGACAGTAATCAAGAAGACACTAGAAATCTACCAGTTATTGGACAGATTTCTCACACCAGAGGGAAAGACTCTGATGAAGAAGCACTGGTATGATGACTCCCAGAGGCAGCCGTAATGCAGAGGATGTGTCCCAGGTGCAGACGAGTTATAAGTGGTTGAAATGCTTCCAGTCGATGGAAGCAATATTTATAGGGATGTGCAGAGGCGTCCTAAACCAACCAATGCTTATAATAAAAGGCCGTATCCGGCTAAGGTTAGGCAGCAGCCATTAGTGGTTGAGCCTGCAGTTGATAGAATGCATGCTAAAGGCAAGAGGCCCTTATATGAGTCTAGGACACCTAACTATTACAAAATGGAGAGTAGTCATTCTGAAAGAAGACTGGAGAAGAGTTCAGGTTTTAGGATCAAAGCCAGAGATTGGCCCCCTAGACCAGCCTCACGGAGGATAGAAAATGATCACCGTCATCGAAGGCCTGAATCAGGCTCAAAGCTTGGGGTCAAGGCCAAGCAATTGCCTTCACAGCCAGCTTCGAAGGTGGCATCGAAGGAAGAAAAGGGCAGTGCAACATCTGGGTCAGTAAGTTCGTGGGTACATGGAGTTCCAGATTGGTTTGTGATGCAGAACAAACCTAGGGAAGTGCCTACCCCAAGGAATGTTGGAAATCAAGGTAGGATGGTTAAACCTCCTTTGGTGGCCCCCAACAATTGAGTATTGCTGAAACACCCAAGAACGAAGGAACCAGATATGGTCCCCGTAATTTCCAGATCACAAAAGAGGAAAATTCAGCGTAGGTACACCCAGTACCAGCAAGACCTGAAAGAAAGTGGAGAGAGTTCTTCATTGATCCAGACCGAAAGAAAGAAGAATCCAAAGTCAGACCATACTCCAAAGCCAACTCTACAAAGCAAGGTGGGTTGCAGCAGAGAACAGTTGGCTAAGGTTCATTCTGAACTAAGAGTCAGAGAGAAGGCTAGTCTAGCAAGATTGGAGAAAGCTCTGATGGAGAGTGGTAGCGAGATAGAAGAAGAAATTGGCATGAGCCAAAAGAAAGAAATGGTGGAAGAAGAAATGTTCGAAGCCTTCATGGTCGAGCAAACATTTTTGGTTGAAAAATCAGTCGAGAAAAACCATTCGAAGGAACTTGTTAGCAATGAAGTGCCAGAATGTAGCATGCAGGATGCATCTGAGGTAACTGACCAAGGTAGCCAAGAGGGGAAATAGGTACAGCCAGTCATCCAGTTTGGCTCGTTTCCTCTAGTATTAGTAAACATGGTACACATACTACCGCATGAATTCCAAGCTGGAGATGAGAATCAAGAGGGGCACGAAATTGACCCAATTCCAATCTCTAGTGAAGACTCACAAGCGAGTATGGTACACGATAATTTCGGAATGGTTACCCCAATGGAAACTGAGTATGAGAGTGAAGAAGTGGTAAGTATTAACCTCTCGTATCCTTTTGAATATCTCTCGAATTCTATGACACAGCATGTTAAGCCTTTGTATATTAAGGCCTTCTTTGATGGGATACAGTTAAACCGAGTCTTAGTGGATAATGGGGCAGCGGTGAACTTACTACCGAAATCTTCCTTGAAGAAATTAGGAAAAAAAAATCCCAGGTTGATCCCAACCAGTACAACCATTGCTGGTTTTGTTGGGGACAAACAGATGGCCCAGGGAATTCTACCCATCAACCTGAGTGTGGGAATCAAGGACTGCATGACGGCGTTTTTCGTCATCGACAGCAATGCGAAGTACAATGCTTTACTTGGTAGAGATTGGATCCACACTAACAAATGTGTGCCTTCCTCTATACATCAGAAAATGATAATGGCTCTAGGCAATGGGGAGACAGAGGAAATTGATGCAGATCCTCAACCTTTCATAGCCTGCGCAGACTTCGCAGAAGCCAAACTGTATATTGAGGAAGTGACACCGCTTAGTATACTGATGAAATCTGATGGCTCAGCCGAAGTAACGGCTGATGAGGAAGTGACACACCTGAAGCACTTAGTCCAGGAGAGTGCCGATGAAGAGGTGGTCGTTAAAGATGACAATGATGCCTGGTTATAAGCAGCAAGATGAAGCATCAGAAGCCAGGTCTTTGGCTTTAATTAAGTTTTCAATATTGGATGTAAAGTCAATAGTCCAAAAAGTGCGGGAGCAAGAGAAAGAAGTCATGATAATTGGCTACAAGCAGGAGCAGCAACAAGCCAGAGTTTTGACCCTTGATAAATACTGTGCATT